AGGTACCAGGGTATGATAACAATACAGATGTATTGATGTATTGCGGATAAAGGAGAGATCCACCGGATAGCAGGCTGCTCGATGGACTCCGGGGGAAATCTTGCAGTAAAATTGAATGAAATAGTAGTGCATAAGGAACGCCAACACGACGATGAAGAAAAAACAACAAACAACAACAATCAGATGAGGTGGCTAATGTATAATTCCCCCCCCCCCCCCCGCATTCAGGGCTTCATATCAAGCCCGAAGAAGCCCCGTATGCCAGGGCAAAATATTAGCCATCACTGATTTGAGTGTTTGCTGTTGTTTATTCTTGTCACGTTGCAGTGTTCCTTATACACTACTAATATATGATATACTTGATATGGAGCAAACAATTCTTATTTCAGTGGCATAACCTAACCACACTTCTCTAGTAATTTATTCAAACCCTATTCACACAGGATTTCTTGATACCAGAGTCTTTCCTATTCTTAAGAACCCAAAAAATGCATCATTCTTGATTTTTAATAATTTTGGACACCTCTTAAAACCTAATGTGGGGGATCTCTTTAAATGCCAGAGAGAAAGAATTATAAAAAGATTGAAGTTCAAATAATTGAAGAAATAGTAGTCTGATGCTGGATAGCATGAGAGAAGAGGAAGGCTTAAATGATACAGCACTGATCAGTCTACGGATCTGTAATATTATGTCTTAGATGGTTTTACTTAACCTAAAAAATGATAGGGCAATTAAGTGATCAATTGTATTCTTTTGGAAAACTGTGCATACTAGAAAATAAAGGATACTCTTTTGCACAGGTCTGATATGAAACACTAACTTGTGTCACTAGCAATTTCCAACTTTCCATTCAGGGGTGTAGCTAGCGGTGGGGTGTAGGGGGTGTAACCACTCCCCCCCAATACTTCACGAATAAGTCATTAAATCTTTAGTTTGTCTACAAAATCTTTAGCTTGTCGGTAAAATAGTCTATCAGTAGGTGAAATAGCACCTAAATTCTTTTTCAGCTATGTCTTCATTGGTTAGTTTTTCTATTGATGACCCTTCACCCCCCTAGTCTGGAAGGTCAAGTGATGCTACTTCTTTCACTATCAAGATTTTCACATCACAGAAATTGACATTTTATGGTATCAAACTTTTGAGTGATCATCTCATTTTTAAAGTTGCAAAACACAAAAGCAACGGTGAACCTGTACTCTGCAGTAATGTTTATTGCAAACTATGAGTTAAATTATCTCTGTTTAGGTGTTTAGTGTCCTCCGCTCCCCCCAGGTTAAACTAATTAACTTCAAAAAGATGGTTTGCCCTGGGCTAGTACGTGAAAATTCTAGTTTGCAGGTGAATGCTTAAAACCAACATGGAACAAATATGGCTTAGTTTTTAAAGTGTCAATACAGTTTGATTAAAAACTACTCTGATATCATCACATCAATAGAACAAAACGTGAACATTAACAATAATATACCTCTAAGGTGTCCTTGTCGCTTAATAGGTAGCCAGATATGTTGCATATGCCAAGTTTTGGGGCTGAATCTGACTTTAGAATTTCTTTGTACCATTTGTATGTGTCTGCTGCCCATTTCCTAGACAGACAAACAGATATCTTTCAGATATAAGGAATTTACTTATCAATTAAGATTTCAGTGAACAATAGGGGCAATGCTAACAACCAGTTCAAAACCAAATATTTTGTTTCTAAGTTATTATGTTTTCAAAAATTCTAGGACCAAGTCCCTGGCCCTCACATACTCCCTTCCATGACCATTGGATGGCCTGTTGTAATTCCATCCTGAAAGAAAATCTGAATTGTATCTACTCCTGGTCTTTGTAATGATCCTCTTTTTGGTACATGAAATTTGTTAAGACATCAAAAAAATTGTGCCAATATTGTGTCTCTTTAATCATATCCTCTAAAATCATTCTTTGTTCATAAGAAATCATGGTAAATCATTGATTTGACACCCTAGGGAAACTCAAACTTAAACTCAAAATCTTTTTCAGCCAGCAAACAAATTAATTAAAATATACTGATTTAAAATACAATTTCTAGAATTTTTAGAATTAGAAGAGAAGTGAAATCAGAAAATTGATTGGTTTTTTATGTTGCTGAAGGGCACATGAAAAAACGGTGAGCTATTTGTTGATACTTGATTGTAGATTTCTTGATGATTTTTTTCGATTTCTCAGATTTTTTAAGATGTTTTTAGATTGTTCTGAAGATCCACTTAATAACATTTTGTATAGATTTCAGTATGAATTGAACATAACAGAAAAGTAAAGATAATTGATAAAAGAAGAATACAAAAAAGTCATAAGAAACAAGTAAAGGGGTAGGCAATGATAAAATTTTTGTCCACCCTGAAAAAGACGAATATATACAAAGGGCTTCTCTTAATTTGTTATCCGTATCAAATCAAATATACCATCTTTCAATTATAGAATAGTAGCCTTGCCATGCCCCTTGTGAAAAGCAGTCCTTGGGAACTGGTGGGGCTACCATGCTCAAATAATTAAAAATGAATGAATGAATGAATGAATGAATGAATTAATGAATTAATGAATGAATTAATGAATGAATTAATGAATTAATTAATTAATGAATGAATGAATTAATGAATTAATGAATGAATGAATGAATGAATGAATTAATGAATTAATGAATGAATTAATTAATGAATGAATTAATGAATGAATGAATGAATGAGCACCTGTGCGTCTGCAAGCGATGGGATTTGTTTCCATATAGCAGAGTATAAAAACTTTGTAACAAAAACATTTCCTGTCTACTCTTTCAAAAACGCCCATTCATCATAAAATTTCACATTCCTTTTGGGGGATAATACTTGCTTTTTATTCATTGTCGAAAGCAATGTCAAGAGCATGAACAGATTGTTCAAGAAGTTTTGATGTATATTTACAGCCAAACAGCTCAACAAGATTTACTGTCATAGGCAACGTGGAGCTAAAACTGAATAAACAGAGGATTAAGAGTGGGTCATTTCCATATTCTATTTGTTTTTGACTAAAGCCCCAAGTGCCCCAAGTCTCCCTGGATTTCTAGGGTTTTTTCTCGAAAATTAATGAATTTGTGCGAAAGCCATACGAGATAACTGTGGAGTGATATGCCCGTTGGAATTAGGTTTTCAATGTGAGCCTGGATTGTTCTTAATTTGTTCTTAAATTAATAGGTTGTAAGCAGTAGGATTGTTAGCTTTTTCGATCTAGGGATGTATTCAGGTCTCATTTGCCAACAAAGTGAGTGAAACACCCTTCATTTGCTGACAGGTTTGTTTATTCACCGAAAAAGCACCCACACATGGCAAAAATTCCTGTGTTTTTAGGGTAAAACGTTATTCAAAATGGCATATTACAGTAGCTCAGCCTCAGCTTGTTCTTAATTTGTTCTCAACTTTTGGCCAATTCTAAGGCTCGTGTTATGACAAAATTTCTTTTATAAAATAAAGATACATATATGTGTGTGTGTCTTTGACCCCCCCACCCCCCTCCCCCCCCCAATCCGTCCATTACCATCTTGGCTATGCTCCTGTCGATTGTTTTCAAAAAAGTAAGTAACTCAACCCTGAATGTCTCACATATGTCTAGATGTCTAAAATATGTCACATGCTAAATATCGAGTTGTCACCTTCAAGTTGCGAGGAGAATAATTTGGAAATTTCCTGCAGGCGCCAAGGATGATATCTGAAAGTGAGTGTGGATACTTGAACTTGCGTTGATTGAACTTCAAATGATTTGAAGATTTCTGCCTTGCTTTAATTCCAAAAAGATTTTGTCATTCAGGCAATTCTTGCTAGAATGACTAACACACAGAAATAAAGACACCGTGGCACACCGCAATACAAAAATGTCATTGTCATATCTCTTTCACTAAAATCCAGGCTCTAATCTCCAGACGGAAAATCAGGCTTTCATTTGAGAGGGGGGCACAGGCCCAGGATTTCCGACAAGATAACATCTTGGATCATGTCTAATTCTAAAGGAAACTTGTTACTGCACATTTTGTTGAAAATAGACGATTATTGGGCGGGACCCTTTGCTTACCACGCCCTTTTATAAAGTAGCTAGAAGAGCAACCATTAATGATTTTTGATATTACGATCACGGTCGATATCTAATCTAAGGCGATTGATGATACATGAGGTTGACCGATTACACTACATTGACAAGTCATTCATGATAACTACACAACTGTAAATACATTCCCTTTTTTATAAGAAACTGGACAGTCAGAAAAAATTAAAAAACACTCAAGAGTATTCTACATGCATACATATTTTTTATATATCAATTAAGAACAACTAGAGCTACTAGAACGACAACTACATTAAGCTGTGCACTTCCATGGCGAGGAAAGACACAAGGTCACCGAGTCCTCACCATAAATGCCACATACAATTCAACAACAAGTTACATCATCTATGAAAAAAAGAAAGAGAAAATAAGAAAAAATAAAAGTTAGAGAAAGAAAAGAAAGGGGTGCTGCTGCTGTATTTCGGCATTAACTTAACCTTGCCGAGGCCTCAACGAAGGAAATTGTTGCTTCTAATATAATTCTGTTTGCAACTGTACCCAAATTTTGATCTCCAAACAAGAGTAAACGGGAGTAAATGACAAAGGTCTTTCATATTTACATCGGCAACATTTAATCCATCGATACCTGAGAGCCTGTCAAAGAGAACCTGGCGCTGCAGACATATACAAATACAGATATGTTAAATAGTAAAGTCAATAGTTTTTCCTGACTTAGTCGTACGGCCACCAAAGAGAGGGCATGAACAATAACTACATCTCATGAATGACGTCATCAAACATTTAACTCCCAAATTACTTGCGATTTTCAACGGTGACATACTGTGCATATATTTTTGACAAACCCTCGTTTTTTGACATGCAGAATTCAAATATTTGATCAGAAAAACATGAGAAATTTCAGTCCGGTTTGAAACTCACACCAGCCTCAGTTCAGTTGGATGTTTGGTCGAACCCCTTTGAGTATTCACATGAGTAGGGCGAATTGAAACTCGGGCCAACCTGAGATTAATTTCGGTTTTTCGGGCCTGTTTGAATTTTCAAGCCGGTGTCATATGCGTTCCGGTAACCTTATGCATTTTGGTCCGGGTACTCAAACGCATGACAATTTTGGTTATGCAAAATCGTACCCAAGCACTTAAACAATAGAGTACCAAAACTAATGGTGGAATTTAGCATGCAAAACGGTCCGGGTACACAAACGCATGGCAATTTTGTTAATACAAAAACGTAACCAAGCACTTAAACAATAGAGTACCAAAACTAATGGTGGAATTCAGCATGCAAAACGGTCCGGGTACACAAACGCATGACAATTTCGCTTATACAAAAACGTACCCAAGCTTTAAAAAAACAGGGAACCGAAACGAATGGTGGAATTTAGCATGCGAACCGGTCTGGGAACACAAATTTTCTAGTTCAAATTCAGAATGTAAAGAACAATCGAACCATCTCTAACAAGGGGATACTAACAAGAAGCGGTGCTGTGATTTCCCTTGTTAAGTTTATATGCAAAAAGTACAACAATAATGGTAACTCCAAGGTTTTCTTGATCGAAAAGTGTGAAATTTTAAACTCAAAAAGCATTGTTTCCAATTTGTTAATTACAACACGTCATAATATCGCACTACACGCTTTTTTTTTATAAGGAACCGTTTATAAGGAACCTACATGTAGAAGGTCAAAAAACTTAAGGAACTTTTACTACTAAAGGCCAAATCCCTAAGGAACTTTTTAATTTTGAATATATTTATATTTCCGCACAATTTACAGTTAGGAAGCCGGTTCCATTGATTTTCAGTAAAACCGGCCATGCTCATGGGGCCAAGAATCAACATGAGAAATTTCCGTTTTAACTCACCTCACATGCAGCTGTGCTTTGTTGTGAATTCACACTTTAGGTGTTTTAGTTTTAGTCAAATAGGTTAGTCACAACAAAATAGAATTCTTATTCTGTGTGTGTGGCTAAGTATTACAGTAGTTGCAATATGGGAGATAAGAAAAAGCAGTCAACGTTGTTCAAGTTCGGTTTTTCTAAAAAGATACCTCATCGAAATGAGTTACAAGAAGTCCCTGGTCGTTCGTTTGTTGAGGATGATGATGTAAGTTTGTATCGTTGTGACACATGCAACAAGCATTTCAAAAGTAAGTCTGGCCTTACGATGCACGTGTCTTGGTGCACTTCGAAAAAAGACAGTGAGAGAGAAAAAGAACAACCAACTAAAAAAATCGATGAAATTCCATTGATCTTGGAAAGTAGCGCCGAGGCTGTTGAGCCACAAAAAGAACCAACTGCTATTGATGTGGATGAGAACATCGAAGAAACTGTAGAGGAATGTCAAGAGATAGAGAAAAGTGCTAGAGCGTCAGAAGCAGGAGAAAGCAGTCAGCACCATCGAGAGAAGAAGAACAGACTATCTTATGACACCGAATTTAAGCTAAAAGTTATCGCGGAAGCAAAGAAAAACCAAAAGAATGACGTTGCATTCAAATACAACATCTCTAAATCGATGGTATCGACCTGGGTTAAAAATGAGAAGAAAATTACTGATGCAGCCGCCGATAGCCACAGGAAAATGATGAAAAAGATCAGACCCAGCACAAGGCATAAGCAAGTCTTCGTGATGCTTCACGAAAAGTTCCTACAAGCAAGATCAAAGGGGATGCGAATATCTTTTGCATGGCTGTACGCAAATGCTAGGAAGATTAACCCCGAATTCGACCAAAGTGCCCAATCAGATATTAAAGCTATCCCGAAATCTGCAGTCTTCAACTTTATCAGGAAGTACTCAATACCACCACCATTGCCTGTGACTGGCCCCGAAAATCCACTGTCTGTACAAATACCAGAGGCCTCAGCAGCCTGTGAGGAAGATGTAAGTGATGAAGAAGATGAAGGGGATGAAGAACTTGAGCCTGACGAGCTTGAGCATGAAAGAGTAGACCATGTAAAAGATCGTGTCTACGAACATGAGTTGATTAATAAAAAAATACGCGCATTCTACGACGAATGGCACACTGGACAAGTGAAGTGGTTCAACACCAAGCTGGGAGAGTTTAGAGTTCTTTTCGAAGACGGTACTGAAGACTACATTGTGTCAGACGACATCAATGGAGTGGATATGCAACTTCTTTAATGACTATTATTATTAATTTTATATTATATGAAGCTTCTTTGTGTTTTAACTTGTTATCTTTTCTTAAGTTTATAGCAAAACGCTGAATTTGATTGTTTTTCTTGCGTCTGTACTAATTATTGTCCACTAAATGCCAACTTAAAATTAAGGAACTATTAAGGAACTTTTAGAACTACAAAGTGGTCAAAACAGGTCTCAAAATAAGGAATTTAAAGAACTAGGCCCGAGCTAGGTTCCTTATAAAAAAAAGCGTGTACGATGAAATCACATGATTTGGAACACATTGCGTTTCACGTTACACTTTTGTATAGGGTACCAAAACGCATATTACACCAGCGTGAAAAATTTATGCGAACACGATTTTTCAAATTGGGGGAAACTGAACTTGCATAATCAAAACTATACGGTATCAAGATTTGTGCTAGGCTCACGAACCCCACGAAGTCTTCCGTTGACATACTAAAGTTCGCCATCATTACACCATCCCACAGGAGGGCAAATCGCTCCAAGAAAAGCTCGTACACTTTACGCGAAAATTCTATTGTTTCGTTCGAAAATCCCTAGAAATCCTTCTGTTTTAGGGAAAATCTCGTAGGCTATTTGCAAGAGTGAATTGCCCCTCGATCCCACATGTGTGTGTATGTGCATATGTCTATCATTTCTCGGTTTTCCAGTGTTCTTCAAATGTCGTCACTTCTTTATAACCCTAATCCTGAGTTGCCTATACTTTATTTTTTACCTTAAATTGCTTGAGCAACTTCCTGTTACAGCGCCTGATCTTTGAATGTTTGAAAACGCAGTATTCGTAAATTTATTCCAATCGATTTGAAATATCCATGTGAACGCGAAGGAAATTGGCACACCCGAATTGAAGTCATGAAATTTCACATGTGAAGGGCCTCTAACCATACTGGATAGTATGAACCTGCAGACCCGTCGGAACCGGGGGGGCTGAGGGGGGCTGGAGCACCCTACCTCCCCCCAATAATTGTCAAACTGTGGTATGTTTCCTCTAGAACAGTGTACTGAATGAGAAGTAAAACAATGGGCAGCCACCCCCATGTGAATATCGTTCCGACGGCACTGACCTGGTACGCCACATAGATAATCCATCATGCGCCAAGAAGCGCCGGTACTCCACTCCATCCACTCCGCCAATTGTTGACTTTACGCAAACAGATATTGTTATGAGGCATAAGCTTTGCCTCTTGGACTTTAAAAAATTAATCAATGAGTCGAACAAATACATTTTTACCGTGTGTACGAAAAATTAGAATTTATTTGCTTGACATTTTATGCTTAATAAATATGCGTCCTTTATCATAAAAAACGTCTCGATATTCTTACTACCCATGGTTGCCGTAGAAGGGTAAGAAAGTTTTCGTATATGAGTGATTCCAGTTCACTGGAAAATGCACCCTTGCTCTACTACCGTACACGCAGTGGCGGCCTGCATCAGAATGGCGCCCTCCATAACTAACACTATTGTCTTTTTCCTGAAAATATTGGCAGTCCAGGGGCGGTGCCAAGAAATTTAAAGTGGGGGGGGGGCTCGAGTTAATAGCTTTATTTGACTAAAAAACCAACATTGGGAAGGGTCGGCGAGAGGTTGTCGGAGGCCCTTGATATAACTCTGAATCAGATCTGTGGCGCAACGTACGCGGATGCCAGCCCTCTAAGCCTTTTGCTTATAAAATAGCCATCTAAAGGACAAGTTCTCCCAATCGGGAGAAAAAATTTAAGCTGCCGAAGATTTGAATTCTCCCAAACGGAAGAAATCTATCCCGTTCGGGAGACAAAATGCTAGCAGTATGGACTGACCTGATTTTTTCCTCCGATGTATTTGTCAATCCCTTGTCAACCTCGTTGACTTTGAAAATACCGGCAGCTCCATCACTTGTCGTGTTTGGGCTGAATTTCTCTGCAAACAGTGTTATGTCTAAATGATCATCAAACGTTTTTAAAACGTGAGCTGAAGAAAGGCCGATAATGCCAGCACCAATTACGGCGATTTTCACCATCTTCCTATGCAAGAAATTGCAGTCCTAGGCAAGCGGCAAGAGGCAAGCACCTTACGTGCCTCTCTGCTTTCGTTGTTGTTGTTGCACCTGTGAAAACTCTGGTATGGAGTCCTTTGTTTTTTCCTTTTGTTTCGCGTTTTCGCGCACCGATTGATATTAACGTTTGACAAGTTGTTGTAGGGGTAATTCTATTAACTTTTACTGTTATTTTTATGTTGTAATTAGGTTAGAGGCCATCTTGGCCTAGATACCTTTTTAATAAAAAAAAAATATAAAAAAAAAAAACAATTTAATCTCTATTCTGTGATCACATGATCAAAACGAGTCCACAAACAAATTTTGATGCTGGTGTTTATGTGCGCGGACAAACCTCAAACTCAAACATGAAATCTTTTAACAACATCAGCAGGTTAATCACATTATACTGAAATATAAAAAGGAAAAAAATTAGGTAAAGTATTTCGAAATTGTCGAATGTTCAGGTGTCAAGAAAATTGGACCGACTAACACACAAAATTGACCGAGATTTCAAAACCAATCTTTGCAGCTACAAATAATGAAAGTTTATAAAGAAAGGATGCATAAAGAATCAAACAAATTCCGTACTTGGGTAAAAATATAGAATTCATTCTCTTTGAAATGTGGAATCATTTGGTAATTTTAAGGGAAATCTAAGGACACTGGATGAAATATTTATCTTTGTTTTGCTCAATTTATTTTTTGGGAACAACTAAAAAAGAAACTCGAAAAACATACATCTACCAAAGCTGAAAGTCTTAAGTCTTTTGCGTGGAGGGTACAACCTGAAGTTGGAAGAAGCAGTTTTCTACACATGCCTGGAAGAGGCAATGAACTTGGAGGATTTTTGAATTTTGAATTTTAGGACATTTTCTTTGGCTCTACTAGCCTCCAAGAGCCCTAACAACCAGTAAATCCAGTTGTTTAATTAATTTTTCATACTACAGTCATACTGTTATTTCTAGTCACTCACAGTCTTAGATGCATTCAAAGGAAAGAAATAATGCTAAAATAATGTTAATGCGAAGCTAAAGTGAAATGAGCTCTTACGAAAATTGAAGAACGAACAATATCTTTCTGAATATTATTATAAGCAAATCAATCCTGCATCTTAAATGGCTTACAAAACAGTGGTTTAGTGGTCTTAGGAAGAATTCCTGGTATGGAACAAGCATTGTAGATAGAAACATATTTATGATGTTATTTGATGTTCTCGTCCGTTTCGTTGAGATAATATAAGCCAAAAGTATTTGCGGTAGACTAAACTAAGATGACATTAAAGGGCCTCTCCAGCCAAATTTTGCACTTGCATTTTATTGGTTAATCTAAAGGAGTTTAACGTCTCAAATTTATGCAAAAGAACCAGCCAAAAACTGCATGCCCTTGCTAGATTATCGCCATTTATGGGTTCTGACAAACTGCGTCTCCTAATTAACAGCTTCATTAAAGCTCAGTTTAGCTACTGCCCCCTAATTTGGATCTGAATGCTAAAGTGAATAAAATCCACGAAAGAGCACTCAGAATTGTTTATAAAGACAGTCATGCTGACTATTGGATAATGCATTGCTGACATTGGATAATGCAGTATCGATTCACCAACACCATCTACAGTACTTGATGATAGAAATATACAAAACCAAACATAACCTGAACCCTAGTTTCATGAGTAAGATTTTTGAAACAAGAAATGTACATTATGATTTGCGAACTAAAAATAATCTTTGCACTCCAAAAGCCAGGACAACTTCTTATGGTATAGAAACTGTGAGATATTTAGGTCAAAAACTGTAGCAAACAGTACCTCACAGCATAAGACAGTCCCAATCATTGGCAACATTTAAGAAAAATTAAGAGCACACCCTGTAGAATGTGAATGTATTATTATTTTATTTTATGTTATTGGTATTTCTCCTATAAGTAAAGTATGAAAAGCCTTTTAAACCCCTAGAGAGATTAATAGAACAACCCAGGTGTAATATGGTTGGTATCTTAACAGGTCTACAGATCAATAGTCAATTGAGTCAAGGCTTGAGATCAATAGTCTCTTATATATTCAAGTATTTGTAATTACAAACTTGCATTTTTCTCTCTCTATGTTATGGCCCCGGGGTAGACAGAGTCAATGCTCCCCGGGGTATCGTCTTTGTACTGTTTGTAAAGAAGCGTGTAGTTAAGGAATTACAGTAACGACGTTGCTAAAACAAGGAACAAGCGGAACAACCTAGTAACAAGCGGAACAAACTAGTAACAAGCGGAACAACCTAGTAACAAGCGGAACAACCTAGTAACAAGCGGAACAACTTAGTAACAAGCGGAACAACCTAGTAACAAGCGGAACAACCTAGTAACAAGCGGAACAACCTAGTAACAAGCAGAACAATCTAGCAACAAGCGGAACAATCTAGTAACAAGCGGAACAACCAGGAATGAAACATCCCTAATTTTTGTACTTATCCACCCAACTGAAACCTCGTTTAAACAAAAAGCCCAATCAATATGAAGCCCCTTTTGTAGCCTGATGTAGTAGGCCTAGTAGTGAAGTGAGGACAATGATTCAATCCCTACTTGCAACATTGTTTTCTCGATCTCGCAGATGGAATGTTCGGATGAAAACATTAGAAATATTACTAGTAGGCCAGAGCTTGGTTCTCAGTATTCTGCTGCATTTTCTTTGTCAGTGGTAGCTCAGTCGAAAGTCTCTACTATCGAAGGTTCTGGTTCTGCAACTTTTGCATCTTCGGGGAGGGGAAGAGTGTGATATCTCAATTTGAAGCATTGCCCATGCACTTAGGTGACAAAATTATTAGGGCGATCGCCTCAAAGCAAATGTGGTCAATCCTATGCTCAAAGAACAACATAGAAAATCGGTGGAACATAACGAGATTGCTGGTTGAGATTTTCGATTGAAATTTTACCCAATTGTAAAAATAAACATGAATTTAATAAGGTAAAAAGGTAAACTTTTTAGACAAGTAATTTTTGCTTTATTTTATATTTTGTCAGATGACCTCCAAGAATCTAGGCAACCGCCATTTGCATTGAAACTCACCGAAATAATTTTCCAACGAAATATCTTCGGATAGGAAATCTCAACAAAATTTTGAAAGCGGTTATTATTTTTGGTCATAGAAGATTCCATTTCTTGTATTTTTTTAATGAAAACCAGTTGTTTTCAATTACTTCAAGGCTTGTACTTTGACAGGCTTATTGAAAGACCATTATGTTATTGTTTAATGTCTACTAGGTTTTATGTCTTGCTTGAGAAAAAGGTTTTTGCAAAGAATCATTAGAAGATTCTGTTCTTGCGTGGGGGCTTTCCACAAAAAATTGGACAAAATCTTCAGCTTTGATTGACTTCGCCTACAACACCAGCTCGCCGCCATCATTAGGCCAAACCAATAGTCTGCCTGCCCAGGCCTACCATTCTTTGAACTTTAATCAGCATTGTTAACTTATTGTCCTTGTAAATAACATGCGTTGTAGACTTACTGCAACCAAACTTTCTTGCAGTGTCAGCAAAAAAATAAAACGCTAGACCCAAATTTTTATTGCTTTTCGTTCTCTTTCTGGTCCTTTTTGTGTTTTCGGTATTGAAGCTAAAACATTAATATTTTCCATTTTCCCTTGAAAATTTGTTACCGTTTTATCATAGAAAGGTAGAAAATAAATTGAAGTGCTAGGATTTGGATTTTCGTTGATGTCTTGTAAGTGTATATAGCACCTAAAAAAAATTAAAAAATGGCCGAAGAAAAAATGATAAGAAAGCTGAATGTTCATTGGAACCTAGGGTTCACACTGTCACCAAAATGCTCCGGAAATTTTTTTCTTTTCTCCAAGCAAAACGCCCTGTTGCTTGCAATTGCATATGGTGGTCATAGGGGCCAAAAACCCTGTAAAGCTAAGAGAGTGGTCAAAAAGTATTTATGGAGATAGACAATTTTCCAAAAATCTAGCAAAGTAATCAATGGCCCATCCTAGATTCCATATTTTATCTTGTGGTCCAATAGCAAAATCTGGATATTTTTCATGACATTTCATTGTATATTTGATATAAACATGAACAAATTTAACTACACGATGCAGTTTTAGACACAAAATAAAACATTTCTTTGTTTTTTGGATAAATTGTTAAATTAAATGACACAATGAAAGACTTTCAAGAAGACATTTCCATAATTCTTTTTACAAGACGACATCTCATTTTACATTAATCCTGCACTTTGACCAAAATAATCGTCTTTTATAAAAATCGTCTATTGAAACAATTAAAAGCCAAAGGTGCACAAACTCAACATTAAAAAACCAGGAACGGGTGTAACAAGGTCTTTTAAAGGATTGACGGGAATTCTTTCGATGATAATTCACCTATTTTTGGTTTAATTGACACAGACAAATAGAAAGAAGAGCTCTAGTAATCAAAATACGATTAATGTGCCTAAAAGACGTAAATTTTTTATAGGTTTTGAAAAACCATATCATAATTAGTATAATTTATCATAAATGTTTTACATTATCACAATCTATCACTACCATACACAATACAATTATATTTATATACACTGCAAACACAAAATATAAGCAACAGACCAAATGATTCGGTCTATATGCTTTATCAATAAGAATATAGTCTATAGGAAAATTAATGCGTAGAATCACTGAAATTTAAGAATAATTTGAAAATAATGCAATGCTCAAGCTTCACAATGTTCAAGAAAAATCTTAGGTTCAGAACAAAAAATTAAGAATATTGAGGCTCGGCAAGTATTAGGTATGGTTATAAAAAAGTGTGTACTTCCTAATCATAGTTTCGATTTTGAACTTAGGCCATTAATCTCTTCCAAGCTTTGCTTTACCAATTCCAATGCATTCTGTGCGCATCCCCAATGCAATGTGATGCCACACGGACCATGTCCATAGTTATGAACAACCTGGGCAAAAAATTAAAACTAAATACAGCATAAGGCTAAAATCTTGATAGGCTGAGGGCTTCAACTAAATCACGTGGCCTCTCTCGCCAATTTACTGAAGACTATCTGAAAGACCATGCCAAATATGGACATACAATAAAGTAACAATTTGACCCGGTTCGACAATAACAACCAGGTTTGTCGATGTGAACTATCGTTCTCGGAGGAGCAAAGCCGTAGCGAAGGGAGGGAGTGGTTCCGACACCCCCTTAAAAAACATTACATTTAAAAAACGAGGGGGTTTTTTGCAATCTAGGGGTGCTTTGCGTGAATAAAGAAAAGGTCACGGTAGCAGTGTGCTCGACGGGCTTCAAGGAGTTATTGCGGAAACATTGCAAAGCGACGAGAATAAACAACAATAAATACACGTAAATTAGTGAAAGTTAATATTTCGCCCCGGCATACGGGGCTTGTTGGCTAATTTTCAAGTTGTCAGCTAAGAAGGATGGTACACCCACCTAATCAGCAAATGGAATCAGGACACACCACGTGAACACAAGAGCTAGCAACTTTAAATTCTTGAATTTTGAATTTATAACTTATTCTAAATCTTTAGACGCAGCTCTATTCTATATTATTGGGCTGAAGGTACATACCCTGACTTTCTTGGTTGTCATTCCATCAGCTGTTTTTAACCACATGTCCTCCTTCTCTAACCGGACTGACGTCAGCCGTGATGGTCTGAGGCCTACCCATTTCTTTATTATTTCTGCTTTCTAATGATTAAACAACAATTGATGAAAAATCTTTACTCCACATTTTGATAAGTAAGCAGATGCTAGCGCAGGCGTCATTTTCATATCTAGCTATGTATTCACTTCCAGGGGCGCACGTACCTACTAGGGGGTGTGTGGGTGTCACACCCCCTCCCCAAATATTTCCAAACAGTGGCAACATTCGGGCAAATACTCGGGAACAAAAAAATCAGGCATGGGGAAGTTTTTCTAACTTCTTAATATACATTTTACTTTTTATTTCTTTATTTCTTCCAATATTTCAGTATATCTTGGTGTTACTTAAGAACATATGTGAAGAAGATAATAATAGATAATTACTTTTTTTATTCATAATTATAAACAATTAAATTTCAAGAAATTCCCAATACTTGAGGTATCAATACGCTCCAGTAAACTTATATCAAATCCGCGCCATCTGCGCCATATATCAAATCGTTGCTAGACAAACCTTATTTTGCATAATCAAGACTAGCAGGATCTCTAAGCTATGCGCAAACAGGATGCACTGTATTTCTGGTTCCTTTATTCTATACGAAAAGACACTTTACCTTGAGAGATGGCATGAAAGCGTAAGCTCCATCCATGATTCTTTTGTGGTCTTCTTCAGAAAGGTCGGTCTTCCAAGATGACTGCAATACGCCTCCCACTACAACATTGTCGATGCTTCGAAAACAATACAGTTACTAAAAACATGTCGAAAGCAACGGAAAAAAAATTCTTTGCGATCTTGGAAAGCATTCTAGTATGAAAAACACAAATCAACCTATTTTTCTCCGATAAAAGTTTGTAGCAGTTAACAATACAACTATTGTTCAAGGTGAATACCACTTGTACTCGCAAAACGTCAGGGTACTACAGAAAGGAAAAACAATTTTCTATATACAACGTAAATCGTAATTCAAGGGGGGGGGGGCTTATATGAGAAGGGGGCTTATAAAATTATTGTAGACATTAAGAAGACAATATTAAAAGACTTCGCTTATTTTAGTAGGAATTTCTTTATGAGCATTTAATTAATTACTACCAAAAGTATAAATTTGTTGTGGTAATGCAATAAAACGCCATAGGCAACCTCAGATGTCAAAAATCATCAATTGGTGGGGTCCAATTCTAGAATTTACGGTAGCAGTGGGGGCTCATTCGAGGGGGGGCTTATTGACAATTTGTAGTTCTAGGGTGGTGGCGTTTTCGAGGGGGGGGGCTTTTTCAAGGGGGGGCTAATTCGAGGATTTACAGTATGTTTCCGTCAAGAAAATCTATTGCTCAATGGGGAATACGATAACGGATGCAGATCTAAATAAAGCAATCAGAAACGACGACATTACCGATCAAATACTGTTCTCCAACCTTTAGTCAAAATGTTGCCTATAAAGTGTTTTGCGACAGTAAAAGAGGCGATAAAAAATAACAAATCTTTGAGATATACACAATATGGAGCATTTCAAAAAGTCCCACAAAAAAAAATCACGAGGAAAAAATCAAATTTTTCGTTAAAAAATATTTCGTTTCCATTAGCCTGTGCTTCAGAACTGTTCTGTCAGGTAAGGGTCCTGGGGCTCAAGCTACGCTTCAATAGGCTTAGGTTTGAGCTTTAACTTATTTTATCAAAGAAGCAAACTTGCTCACTTTGGGTATAGGTATGTAGCTCGTGACTGACTTCCGCTAGAGTAGGAAACGTAATAGAAATGTCGCATCCATGGTGCCTTTACCTGAAAACATAGCAAGAATAATTAGTAAAATGGTCTGCTAAAAGGTGTACCATGAAAATGTGTAAAGTTTCCGATATGTCATCAGGTTTCTGATATTTCAGTATAGCTTGATGTTATTTTCCCTCAAAACCAAATTTAAATGTAAAGTATAAATCAAAAACGATTCTCTTTCCAAAACTGACTTTATTTGGCCTAACAAAAATATCATTGACATAATTTTGGACGCTTAAGGACACCGAAAAAGGGAAAAAAGTACAAGCTAATGTCTATTGACGGACATTTCCCAAAAACTGACCTCTCTAAATGAAAAAAAAACATTTTACTGGAATTTTCTTTTCATCTTCAGACAAAAGGCACTACAATGTACCATTAAAAAATAATATTCATCATGTGAAGGATAGGTTCGGGTTTTAAGGGTCAGGAAATTGAATCTTTTTTATAAATAAAGAAAAAGTTAGTCAACAAAGTTAGAAAAAGTCAGTCAACAATCTTTTTCTCGTAAAGAATTTAAAAATGTCACTTTTTCATCTGACACTCTTCAGAGTAGGAAATGAGAGAAAATAGATCGAAAATTCTACGCTAGGAAATATAAATACCCAGTTGTCGATCGAAATACGCCAATCAGAAACGTGAGCATACGACTCTAGAGGTTGCCTAATCAGTGTCGCTTGCCTATTGAAAATGTTACCGATAGAGTAAGGTGGAAACGAACTCCTTCTGTCAACACACTTTCTGCTATGATAAATTATTTGTGCCATAGATGAGGGACTTGGTCGATTGTGAACCTTGATATAATGTCTACTTCTTTATCAAAAGAAGTTAATTGAAATTGTATGTTATGCTACAAACTCAACAATCTAGTTCTCTATCTCGAACATTTTGTTTCATGTTTCAGTTAGAATCCCTATCCTTCCTTGGTTCCTGATTGGTATCCAAATACCAATTAATACAATCCTATTCATATGCTTAAAGCAGTGGCGGACACTTGGGGGGGCGAGGGGGGGCGACCGCCCCCCCAATACTTTAGAGAACAATGGACTTTTGTTCTAAAACAATGGGAAATGTGACGTCATCTTATTAAAACAATAGGCTTGCCCCCCCAATATTTGACCAAGTGTCCGCCACTGGCTTAAAGGATGAAAAATTTGGCTGATTGGTACACAAAAAACTTACTCGTGCAACCTGGCCTCTTAATGGTACAACGTCGCTGTCTTTGCAAAGGTCCCGTGCTCCGATTCCAGTGCAATTAACTATGACGTCATAATCAGACAGCTAATGAGAATAATGGATACTTTTGGTTGAGAAGATTGTAGCATTCTGCACGTAACTAAGAGTAACATCTTGATCCATCGTTTGCAACACGTGTACAATTTCCATGAGTAAATATTTCAAAGAACGTTAATCTGCTCATCCAAGGCCTTTTATAAAACTTTTTGCAAACAACTTCATAACATAATCAAAAGTTGCCAGCTAATCAAAAAGACAAATTACTTTTTCTAACCTGTTTCCTTTATTAGAAAAATAAATTAAAAATAAAATTACTTTGAAATAATGTGTTACAGGTACCTCGCTGAAAGAATTTATCCTTTTTCTCACAATTTTTCCATTTTTCTCCTTAAATCTATGAGAAAAATAGCCTTTATAAGACAAAATACTAAGCAATGTTTGCTGGAGGACACACAATTCAAAGATAGGAAATATATACCTAAAAACAAGAATTTTCTGAGATCTCTGAAAAATGGGTAGAAGGAAGAAATTGGAGTTAAAGTTTAATGGTGTATCAACAAACCATAACCGGAACGTTACGGAACCAGAATGCCGGAACGTTTTGGTTCACAGGCGACGTTTCCATCGTGTGACAGAATTCAATGGTTTACTAGCAAACTGACACACTGAGGCATGTTTTATCAAAATATCTCACGAGCTGGCATTCTTGTGTTCCGAAATTACAATGGCAGTGCAGATTTGCTGAGGGGATTGAAGTTATGATCAATTTTTTTTCAGAAAATCTACGAAAATCTATGAAGCTTGGCTTGGTGGTTGATAATTATCTCTCCGTCTTACTTTAAAATATACGATGTACCTACTTTGTAAGTGAAAAATGACCTGTTTTTCAATAAAATGACATGATGCCGTTTTCTTGGAGTACAACCAACCATAACCAACGTAAGCAGATTCAATCAGGGCAATAATGGGCTAAACGTTTCATCGCTTATCTCAGGTTAAAGGCATTGAGTCATGATAAATAGACTGGGTATACCCTAAGTGCCAAAATCCGCTGAGTCATGATTTCCATGACTGCGATGCTATTGGTTGACCTTGAACTGGTCACATGAACTCACCTCATACTGATGAACATAACAGTTTCCATCAATAGCAAGTTGTCAACAACGGATGCCAATATCACATGAAACAGCAGCGATCACGCCGAAACCAAATGACCCCCTATAGAGAAGGCCTATATACCGTGACTCAATGCCTTTAACGACCGAATTTTAAAAATGGGGACGACAAGGTTTTAGATATACTCCTTTGCTATGCATAATTGTATGAAGCACTTCAATAATGACAATTTTCGCGTTCAGCGTTAACTTTTGTGGCGCCGGTTTTCCCCCACAGCTTTGGATAGGGGTGCGAGCGTTACTGTTGCGGCTGATTCGGTACTATTTTCTCTTCAGATTTCAATTGTCTTTGACGCTATACCATTGGCTGGTTGAAAATGAAAACAAACAGTCTGATTGGCTCAAAACATTTTTCATCCCTGTCAGTCTTAGTAGCTACAAAACTTTCACGGCGACACTGAAAAAGACCATGATCGACCATTACAACTAGATTGCATCATTTATTGACTATATTTCTTTGCCCGATTCATAATATTAGTCTGAATCCATAATTAAAAACTGCATAACAACAATGATCTAACATCGTTTGATTTATGATGACTTTTTCTTATTGCGTTAACCTGCAGCGATCGAGTTAATTCTGTTATATAATTAGAACCTAAATTTTCAAACCTAAATTAATATACAAGTAATTCTGATAAGGTAAAAATAAAAAATAAAAAAAAATGTTTGACGCTGTACAAGAACTCTCACACCCTTTGATTTTTCAAAGATTGTTTCAGCAAACTTTTGAAAGTAGCCAGTGAAGGGACATTTTTTATTTCAGTGCTATGGCAACATTTGATTCTGGTTCCAGGTTTGGGAATGAATTTGAAAGAGCCATCGTCTGCATAGATAGAGTTGCATGCAGTGACGTTTGGACAATGAGCCCCCTTTGCCCTTGATCATAGGGGCAGAAAGAGAAACAGTGGCAGTGCCAACATCTTCAAACATCTCATGCAAGCCCATGCATGTCTGTCAGAGCTTTAAATACCATGACATTAGTACTGGGTGAGCAATCTTTCTCACAACAAGACTAAATTTGCTACTGGAAAGGGGCCTGATTCAAGGTAATAACAACATTTAAGGTCTGTATCCTATTAAGGGAGACAAAACTTCACCCTTAGCACATTAAAACAAGATATGCAGGTAACAAAAGTGCATGTTGGAGGATCAGCATTATTCTCCTCTCCTCAGTCCTGAAAGTACTTTTTAAAGAATAAACAGTCAAAGCAGAGAAAAATACCATGAAATTTCGATAATTTGTGAAGTTAAGTACAACAAAATCTAATTCGATGTTTTCAGCCAAATTGTAGGAAGCAAAAAATTTCTGAGGCAATATCCCCATTTCCTCAGCTTGCTTCCCTGACCCCCAATAGTATTCATGGCTGATGTAAAATTCTGTCCCCCCTTTGCCCTGTTATCCTTCCGGAACCCCTAGCTGCTTGATAGTTTCTAGATAATATCAAGCAAATACATAGGTTACCAATTACAATCTGCGTTTCAAAATAAACATAGGCGTTCTCATCCTGAAAATCATTTCTGAAAACTGATAATGAAAATCATCACCCAAAACAAACAAATTCAAAACTAAAATCATGGCAACAGAATTTTCACAGAAATACAGACCAACGGGCAAAATTGAGCAAATAAACTTCTGAAATCTAAAATTCCCCTGCTATAAAGGGGACAATTACCTTTCAAGGAGCCATGGGAGGTATTTACTGCTTTCACAGATTACACTTGTCAGAAAATAGCCAGATCTAAAAAACAAAAAAGGGTCAAGGATCAACTTTAAAGTTTCTACTAAGAAATGAAAATATTCAACCACTTCACACTGAAAACAATTATCAAAATTCCATCAGATTTAAAAAGTACTATTTGCAAAATTCTGTCAAATTCAAGAGATTTTGTACCATTTTGTAAGATATTTTTAGGTCTCAAGATTCAGGTATGCTTATCTAAGGAAAATGATAAAGCTAAAAGGAAAGATAGCATCAAAACTGATTACATTTATCGTTGAAACTGATTACAGTTGGACCAAAAATTGTGCCAGAGAATCAGCTGTTTTCTAGCAAAAGTTTCAGAACTACCTTATTTCTTCACCAAAACTAGCCAGCTGCTCTTTTGACAATTTGACAAGATTATCAAGAACTTTTGACCATGAGCCAACCTACGGTGGTATGCAACAATTGAATAAATATCTAACTAAAAACAAACACTTTCAAAGTTAGGGGAAAATACTTGGTTGGGAAAGAGGGTTCACTTTATCTCAATATTTTGAATGAGGGGAAAAAGTAAAAATTTGATATCAGACTTTCTTACCCCTCAGACTTAAAATGACATTGTTCACTGAAAAATCTAAAGATTTTACAAATGTCTTGAGTTTAAAGTAAATTATCTGAGCCAAAAAGCCATTGCTTAAAATAATTGGCAGTTCAATTAAAGGCTGTGGTGATAAGAGTAAGAGTTATTTTGCATGTAATACAGATATTGCATACTATTCTCAACATTTCTAAAATATCTTTAAGTTTCCATTTTCTACTTGCCACACTAAGAAAAATACATTAAATACTAAACAAAAAGTTTAAAATTCTTGAAATCTTAAGGTACCAGGTATAAACAAACAATTTATGATATACTTGATATGAAGCAAACAATTCTTATTTTCAGTGGCATAACCTAACCACACTTTTCTAGTAATTCATTCAAACCCTATTCACACAAAATTTCTTGATACTAGAGTCTTTAATATTCTAAAGAACCCAAAAAATGCATCATTCTTGAAAACCTCATGTGGGGGATTCTTTAAATTTTTTTTCATTTTCATCAATCTATTTTATATACAATCTAATACATAATGCCATTTATATACAATCATATACAATTTAAATGCCAGACAGAAAGAATTATGAAAAGATTGAAATTCCAGGGATGAGGAAGGTTTGAATGATACAGCACTGTTCAGTCTTGGGATCTGTAATATTAGTATTATCTGTATTATTTTGGAGAATGGTGCATACTAGAAAAAAAATATCATTTTTGAATGATCAGCTCATTTTTAAAGTTACAAAATACAAAAGCAATGAGGTAGGTGAACCTGTACTCTGTAGTTATGTTTATTGCAAACTATGGGTTAAAACTATCTCTGTTTAGGTGTTTAGTGTCCTCAGCTCCTCCCAGGTTAAACTAATTAACTTTAAAAAGATGGTTTTGCCCTGGGCTAGTATATGAAAACTTTAGTTTGCAGGTGAATGTTTATACCAACATGGAACAAATATGGGTTAGTTTTTAAAGTGTAAATACAGCTTGTGAACATTAACAACAATATACCTCTAAGGTGTCCTTGTCGCTTAATAGGTAGCCAGATATGTGGCATATGCCAAGTTTTGGGGCTGAATCTGTCCTTAGAATTTCTTTGTACCATTTGTATGTGTCTGCTGCCCATTTCCTAGACAGACAAAGATATATCTTTCACATATAAGGAATTCACTTATCAATTAAGATTTCAGTGAACAATGGGGGCAATGCTAATAACCAGTTCTAAACAAAATACTTTGTTTCTTAGTTATTCTGTTTTCAAAAATTCTAGGACTGAGTCCCTGGGCCTCACATACTCCTTTCCACCACCACTGGATGGCCTGTTGAAATTCCATCCTCAAAGAAAATCTGAATTGTATCTACTCCAGGTCTTCGTAATGATCCTCTATTTGGTACATGAAATTTGTTAAGACATCAAAAAATTTGTGCCCATATTGTGTCTCTTTAACCATATCCTCTAAAATCATTCTTTGTCCACAACTAATTGTGGTAAATCATTGATTTGACACCCTAGGCAAACTCAAACTCAAACTCGAAATCTTTTTCAGCCAGCAAACAAATTAATTACAATATACTAATTTAAAATACAATTTCTTGAAATTTTAGAAATAGAACAAAAAGTAAGATTAAAAATCGATTTGCTTTTTATTATGCTGAAGGGCAAATGAAAAAAACTAACAATGAGCTATTGAGTCATGTGGTCTGCTTGATGCAATTAATAACATTTTGTATAGATTTTAGTATGAATTGAACATAACAGAAAAGTAAAGATAATTGATAAAAGAAGAATACAAAAAGGTCATAAGAAACAAGTAAAGGGGTAGACATTAATAAAATTTTTGTCCACCCTGAAAAAGACAAATATATACAAAGGGCCCCTCTTAATTTGTTATCCGTATCTAATCAAATGTACCATCTTTCAATTATAGAATAGTAGCCATGTCATGCCCCTTGTGAAAAGCAGTTCTCAGGAACTGGTGGGGCTACCATGCTCAAATAATCAAAAATGAATGTATGAATGAATGAATGTATGAATGTATGAATGTATGAATGAATGAATGAATGAATTAATTAATTAATTAATTAATTAATTAATGAATTAATGATTGAATGAATTAATGAATGAATGAAAGAATGAATGGAAGAATGAATGAAAGGAATGAATGAATGAATGAATGAATTAATGAATGAATGAATGGAAGAATGAATGAAAGGAATGAATGAATGAATGAATGAATGAATGAAAGAATGAATTAATGAATGAATGAATTAATGAATTAATGAATGTATGAATGAATGAATGAATGAATGAATGAATGAATGAATGAATGAATGAATTAATGAATGAATGAAAGAATGAATGTATGAATGTATGTATGAATGAATGAATGAATGAATGAATGAATGAATGAATGAATGAATGAATGAATGAATGAATGAATGAATGAATGAATGAATGAATGGAAGAATGAATGGAAGAATGAATGAAAGGAATGATCCAAACAAATAGATATCGGAGAGTGAAGGATTGTTTTTGATATTTTTGCAAAGATTTTGAGATTTTTTGAAGACTTGGGATTTTTGCAGTAAAGATATTTCGAAAATTGTTGTACGTAATTGTAGATTTTTTTGATGATTTTTTAGATTTCTCAGATTTTTCAAGATATTTTTGGATTTTTCTGAAGATTTTTACAGATTTTTCTGCCACGTAAATGAGATTGTTTCAATGATTGGCTCCTGGGGTTTTTTCGTGCACCTGCAAGCGATGTGCGCCTGCAAGCGATGTGCGCCTGCAAGCGATGTGCGCCTGCAAGCGATGTGCGCCTGCAAGCGATGTGCGTCTGCAAGCGATGTGCGTCTGCAAGCGATGTGCGCCTGCAAGCGATGTGCGCCTGCAAGCGATGTGCAGTCTGAGAAAAGTACAAATCTGCAATAGAATTAGTACCTTAAAGAGGGACTTTATATTTCAGACAATATTGAAACCTTTTTAAAGACTGCAAACGACTGTAAGAAATATTCTGAAATGTATTTCAAGCTAATCTGAAGGGCGTCGTCGCAAAAATTTTCTGCTCGCTCCGCTCGCACAGGAACCCTCCTTTATAACTCTGCAAAGTGTTCAACAATTTATCCCACATTATAGGATTTAAATAGAAAGTCTTGCACGTTCTTTAGACAATCCCGATAAAATAGAAACTAAAATGCTAAAGCGCTTCAATTCTTAAAAAAATTGGATTCTGAAATGTTTGTCGGGGATTTTGCTCCAAGGAGAACGAAATTAGTTTAAAATATTTGAATCCTGTTTGTTATTTTTATATATTTGATTAAAACTGTGGAGAATCAGTTTTTACAAGTAATGCTTCCTCGCCTTACACAATTCAGAATGTAAGCGTTAGATGAATTGTCAAGGAAATAGGCAGTTGTAGAATGGGGTCAGCTACAAAAAGCCAGATATGACGTTGTATAAAGCAAAATTTCCAAGTAAAAAAGCCATAGCTTTTCCAAACGCTTTTGCAAAATGGGGTGTTTTCCTAAATTTTTAAGGGTGTGGTCTGCAAAAAATGTCTCCTCTTTGCCCCTCCAATCTTTATGGTCATAGGGGTCCTAGGGTCATAGGGTCTGGTTTTTCCAGTATGCCGGAATTTAGCGTGCGAACCAGTCTGGGAACATAACTGTTCTAATTCATATTGTTCAGAATGTAAAGAACAATCGAACCATCTCTAACAAGGGGGTACTAACAAGAAGCAGTGCTGTGACTAACAAGAAGCGGTGCTGTGATTTCCCTTGTTAGGTTTATGCAAAAATTACAACATTAATGGCGACTCCAAATGTTTTTGGATCGAAAAGTGTAAAATTTTAAACTCAAAAAGCATTGTGTTCAATTTGTTAATTATAACATGTCATAATATCGCACTACGATGTAATCACATGATTTGAAACACATTGCATTTCACTTTACACTTTTGTTTAATCATGAAATATGAAATAACGTCATCCTCCCTTATAGGGCCTCATTCATAAATTTATTCCAACCGATTTGAAATGTCCATGTGAACGAGAAGGAAATTAGCACACCCGAATTGAACTCATGAAATTTCACCTGTGAAGGGCCTCTAACCATACTGGAAAGTATGAGCCTGGTACGCCACAAATGACCGCCATAGATAATCCATCATGCGCCAAGTAGCGCCAGTACTCCACTCCATCCACTCCGCCAATTGTTGACTTTACGCAAACAGATATTGTTATGAGACATAAGCTTTGCCTCTTGGACTTTAAAAAATTGATCAATGAGTCAAACAAATACATTTTTACCGTGTACGAAAAAATGGAATATATTTGCCTAACATTTTATGCTTAATAAATATGCGTTATTTATCACAAAAAAGTCTCGATATTCTTACTACCCATGGTTGCCGTAGAAGGGTAAGAAAGTTTTCGTATATGAGTGATTCCAGTTCACTGGAAAATGCACTCTTGCTCTACTACCATACATACAGGCTGCACAGCGAGAGGTGTGTCCCTGTACGCAAACCTATTAAATGTACGCCAAATTACGTCAGTTTTTTGCGACAAGAGTGCTCCAAACGTCAGTCTTACAGCCAAAGTACGCCAGCGTCCCATTTGGAGATTGCTGTGCGCCACAGATCTATGGCGCAACGTACGCGGATGCCAGCCCTCTAAGCCTTTTGCTTATAAAATAGCCATCTAAAGGACAAGTTCTCCCGATCGGGAGACAAAATGCTTATATCCCTAGCAGTATGGACTGACCTGATTTTTTCTTCCGATGTATTTGTCAATCCCTCGTCTCTCTCGTTGACTTTGAAAATACCGGCAGCTCCATCACTTGTCGTGTTTGGGCTGAATTTCTCTGCAAACAGTGTTATGTCTAAATGATCATCAAACGTTTTTAAAACGTGAGCTGAAGAAAGGCCGATAATGCCAGCACCAATTACGGCGATTTTCACCATCTTTCTATGCAAGAAATTGCAGTCCTAGGCAAGAGGCAAAAGCACCTTACGGGTCTCTCTGCTTTTGTTGTTGTTGTTCTGGACGTTTATTGTTTTGTCCTTGAGTTTCTGGAAGTCCTTTGTTTTGTCTTTCTGTTCCGCGTTTTCGCGCGCCGACTTGAAGACAGAATAGAGATTACAGGTAATCTCAAATCTGTGATCACATGATCAAAACGAGTCCACAAACAAATTTTGATGCTGGTGTTTATGTACGCGGACAAACCTCAAACTCAAACATGAAATCTTTTAACAGCATCAGCAGGTTAATCACATTATACTGAAATATAAAAAGGAAAAATATTGGGTATTATTACAAAAAAAGAAAACTTTTAAAGACGATATATCGTAAACTTGTTTGCTGAAGGATACAAAGAAAAAAACTCAAAAAGTGGGGGTGTGACAACCCCCCCCCCCCATCTTTCATCCAGTCAGAAATTTAAAGCTGTTGGTAGAAAGCTAGGTTAATCGGAAAAAATTTGAATCATTTGTTAAAATTGAAGTTTTGACTCAAATGACCTTGTGAACTGTGGCTCAAAGAGAAGCATGAGAAAGGTATAAGTTCAAAAGAAAATAGTTGTTTGGTAAAAGGCAGTCCTGAAAAGAATGAAAGGCAATACCGAAAAAACGAAGTTTTGTATGAAAATGCGAGTATTTTCAACTAAATTCGTCGTAATAGGGATAGTGTGATAATCATTCCATCAAAGATAATGGAAGTGTGACTGGATAGGAAACTCTGCTAGAACAATGGATCATGTTATGGTTCATTGATATTTTCAACTTGAGGGCTATGTTCATTTCCGGTTTCAAACTTATCACGCGATTTCGATAGAGTAGGCGAAGTTTTCGTTCGGTAAGCTTGTAAGAAACTTAGTTACAAGTTATTCGAAATTTGATTTTTGCTGTGAATTTCATTAACAGTGTCATTCGCCCATGGTTGCGCGTTGTGCTTTGGTCAATTGTAGTACCTATAAAAGTAAAGAGGTTTACCCTCTCCTAAGTTTCCACAAAATACCACCAAGTTCAACCAAATGTCAAAAGAAAAAGGCTTGGAGAACTCAGCTTATTAAAGTAGTCAACAGATGTGACCCCAGTTTCAATTCCGAAGCAGCCTTCATATGCTCTCGACATTTCAAGCCGGAGTGTTTTAAAACAGGTACGTTTTCAAAAGCTATTTCCTTCTTTAGTCGTAAGTCCTAGGCCATCAAACACGTTCAGTTTTCTTTCTTCTTTCCTCTCCCTCAAACTGCTTTGATTAATTTTGAAAATGGTTGCATAAAGTTGTCTCATTTTATCAAATAAAAATTATTTTGCGTAAAATGTTTTTATGTTATCAAATGGGGCCGCATTACTCGGAAAAGTGGGTGTTGCTATGGAAGGATAGGACAAATGAAATTTTTTATATGGGAGGAAAACCTTAAAATTTTCACAAACTGATTTGCTAGACAGAGGTGGGCTTCCAGCAATCCCCCCTCCCCCCTCCCCCAATATGAATTTCTTTCCGACGACACTGATTTGGTGCTAAAAAGTCAAGGTAACCATTGTCACCCTGCCCCCACTCCCCCAGTAAAGATTTGCAGTGCACCCTTAATTGTGTCAGCTTATTGATGGTATGAACTCTAAAATTCTTAAATCGTTTAATAGGAAAAACAGGAAGAAAGGACCTGATTGTTGGGTCTATACCAACAGAATTCTTGGCTGAAAAGAGTATTATTACGCCAAAACCAAAACCAAGACGTCATATTCAAAGGAGTTCTTTAGATGAAACGCAGTTGCCATACAAGTATTTAAACTTCAGTGACTTGAAGAAGGATCTGAAAAAGATAAAGGCACCCTGGGTGACAATAGTGGAAACAGAAAACTACATAAAGGTTGCTTTGATAAATCACGGTCAAATAGATCTTAATTTCTCTGTCGATGAATCTTTAGAATTCCTTGTTGAAACAAATTTCAATGAGCTGCCAGTGGATCACCTTCTGTACAAAAATTACAAGCACAGCATTTGCAGACAAAGAATTCACTGGTTATTAAGCGAAATACAAGAGTGGCACATTTGCCTAGGCATAACTGACAGAATAATAAAAGAACATGCCTTAAGGCAAGGTGGCCAAAAAAAGTCTGAGCAGCTTATCTTTATCAAAACCAAGGTCAGTGGCAAAATAGTTGACAAAGTATACAGCAAACATTGCAACACCTTGGTCAAGTCTTCTGAATCTTGCACTGAATGCAGAAAGATAGCTTTAAAGATACAAAGACAATTGGATTTTGAAAAACAATCTGTTACAAAACCAATAAGCCTAAAGTCTCCATTAACAAGGGTTGCTAAAAGGCGACTAGTTGTGGCAGTTCAGATTTTACGTCAAAAAGAGAAAAAGCTAGAGGCCACCATACAGCAACTGGAAAGAGAAATTAGATCCAAGGGCATATTTCTAGACAATGAAGTGCATGCAGACCTGACCAAAATTATTGATAATGTTTCTAGCCAATTTCCAGAGAATTCTTTTGAGAAACTTTTCTGGAAGGAACAGTGCAAGGCTTTTCAGTCATCCGATAAAGGTTTAAGATGGCACCCTATGATGATCAGGTTTGCTTTGCATTTGCACATGCGCTCACCTTCCACTTACAGAGCACTAAAACAAAGTTTAGTTTTGAAGTTGCCATCTGAACGTACACTCAGGGACTATTCGAACATTGTCCACCCTTCTGTTGGTTTCAGGAAAGAAGTCCTTGATGATTTGAAGGATCAAACAGAGAAGCTGCATGGAATTGCAAAGTATGTTATTCTTATGTTTGACGAAGTATCTGTAAGCGATGACTTGGTTTTCGATAAACATTCAGGAGAACTTGTAGGATTTATTGATCTTGGAGCAGATTTGAATGACATTTTCAGGAAGAGCAGTGGCTTTGATGGCAAGGTACCATCAGTTGCTTCACATGCATTGGTTTTCATGATATGCGGTATAGCATCATCACTGAAATTTTCTTTAGGTTACTTTGCAACTCGTACTGCCACCTGTGGAATGCTATATCCCTTAATGTGGCAAGCAGTTGGATTTTGTGAGACCTATGTTGGTTTAAAGGTTATTGCTGTTGTTTGTGATAAGGCAACTAGTAATCAAAAGCTGTTTAAAACCCATGGGCAAGACAAGGAAATAACTCACAAGACAATAAATGTCTTCAGTGGGGCTGAGAAGCGCCCTTTGTTCTTTTTTTCAGACCCCCCACATCTGCTGAAAACTGCAAGAAATAACTTAGCAAATTCAGGATTTGGTAAGAAGCGTCTCATGTGGAATGAGAAGGACATTGTTTGGAGTCATGTGGTAGATGTATATGAATCAGACAGGAAGTGTATGGTTCGGAAGCTGCCAAAGTTAACTAATGAGCACATCTATCTTAACCCATACAGCAAGATGCGTGTTAATTTAGCAGCACAAGTTATGAGTGAGACAGTTGGTAAGGTAATGGTGGAGTATGGTCCCACTCAAGCAAGTGCAACAGCAAATTATATCCTCATGATTGACTAGTTTTTTGATTTGTGCAATGTGAGGTCACTTACAGAGGGAGATCATAAAATTAAACCATTCCTCAAGCCATACAAAGATATAAATGATGAGAGGTTTAGATTTATTCAAGATGAGTTTTTTGTGTATCTTAACAGATGGAAAGATGCAGTTAAAAACAGAAAAGGTAACTTCTCAGATGAGGACAGAAGAAAGATGTTTTTGAGTGAGGCAACATATGAGGGGCTGCAGACTACTGCTCTTTCACTTGTAGAATGTGTGAGATATCTCCTTCAGAATGGCTTCAAATACGTTCTGACAAACAGATTTTGCCAAGACCCTTTGGAAGACCATTTTGGAAGACACAGAGGCTTAGGGCGGAGGTCAACTAACCCCAACATTAGTTCCTTTGGGTTTCAAGAAAACAAATTTCGTATTCAAAGGAGCATTGCAACAAGCATTACACCAAAGGGGAATACAAAAGGGATAAAGCGGCCAGCAGCAGGAATAACAATCACAACAAGCCCATTGAAAAGGAGAAAGAAATGACCAGGGTCTCTTTCAAACTCATTTTTCATTATTTTTCAAGACTTACTTTAGCATCAAT